CATGCAGCCTCTCAACACCCAGAGTTCATCCTGTTCTCTTAAAAGAAAAACTCTCCCCATTTGGCTTTCTTGACACCGTACTAACCTGGTGTTCCTCTGGGTCTCTTTCTGAACCTTTCTGTTCCTTGGTCCACCTCTTAAATTCTAGTTTCCTTGGGGCTCTGCCCTGTGCCTCTTTCTTTTATACTACAGCCATCCTATAGATTCAGTAACCATCACCTGCACAATTCCCAACTCTAGTCCTGCTTCCTGGAATTCGTGCCAAATACCCAGTTTCCTACTCAAATATGTCCTCTATGTTGTCTCTAGTGAGCACTCAAAATCACCATGCACCAAAGAGAACTCATTATTTACCCTATTGCTCTTCATAGTCCTCATCTAGATTCCTCATTCCAGAAACATGGCACTGCCTCCTACCTGACAATGTATCCATCTCATGCTCCACTTGCCATTGACTGGAATGTGAGCTGGGCAAGAGCAGAGATTTTCTTATTTTCTTCTTGTTGCTGATGAACTCGGGAAGATAACCAAGTTCCTGATACATTGTATGTGCTCAGTAAATATTTGAGAGCAAGTAAATGAATAAAGCAATGACCAAGTCTTTTGTTTCCACGTTGATTCCATTCATTTATCCCCACCTCCGCTGCTGCTGCTCTGGTCCAAGCAACCTGAATCTATCTTCCAAGCCAACCGGCATCCTTTCTTCCATTCTGCCTGCCTCCAATCTGTTTTCCAGACTGCTTCCAGGATAATGTTTTTTCAAAAAGAAAATCTTATCAAATATCAAATAAGTTTCATACTTAAAACCCCTTTAGTGCTGTCCTATTGCCATTGAGATATAAAACTTCAAAACCCTATGGCTCTTGCCATAGTGTAGTGGTTAGCAAATTTTCCTAAAGCCCCAAAGCCCTAACTTGACTCACAAGACCTTCTGTGATGTAGCTTCTGCCCACCTCTCAAGGCTCATCCCTCCCCAGCCAACTGCCTCTCTCTGGTCTTCTACCGGTTTCTCAAGCACAAGCATGGCATCTCTTAGGCTGCCCTTATTCTATTCCACTACCTGTGATATTCTTTCACTCCATGTGGTTGACCCTTGTCCACCTTAAGTCTAAGGAGAGCATAAAGATTGCACCCTCAAAAAGAAGACCTTGGACCCCTTAGATTGGATTATCTTTCTTTGTTTTCAGCTTCTCCGGCAGACTTAATATGTTTAGTCCTCTATGACACTAACACCTTTGTCTAAAGGCTCATGAGTTGGGGACCCTGTCTGCCAGGTTTATCTTCATATCTCTCCCACCTAGCACAGTGCTCAATACTTAATTAATGCTCTATTGAGGATTATACTGGGGGTTTTGGCATCAGGAAACAGGTAAGTCCCTTCCTCTTGGGTTTGGGGAGCATATTACTTGCATCTCTAAGATTTTGTTGCTAGATTGAAATCTAATGAAATGAGTCCCACAATCCTTATAAAAATATGGAATTAAAATCCCGTAGGCAATTCCTTCAAATGGGAGCCTTGGGGGAAAAAATTTGAGAAATAAAATCCCATAGGCAGAATTTTTCCCTTTACAGCTTTCCTGTTTATTGTGTTTCCTTTTTAAGTCCAACTCAAATGTCACCTCCCCGGTAACATCTTCCTCCTCTTTCCTGGGCAAAGTTAGTTCCTCCTTCCATTTGCTCCCCAAACCTCAGCTTCATGTTGTTAAAGGTAGAGGTGAAAGCAGATGGGAGGACTTTGTCAAGATTTCTTACAGACATTTACTGTTAAAAAAAAGGGGGGGGGGACTTTCTGAATATTGACATGGAAGGTTTGTTTGCAGAGTGAGAAAAAGTTACATTACCTTGTTCACCAAGGTACAAGGATAGTTGTTTTTAATGATTAATTTCAATCTTGTCCTCAAATGTTAAGGACATCAAAAACAAATAAACCAGTTAAAAGTGGTCAAAGGACCTGAATAGACATTTCTCCAAAGAAGATATACAAATGGCCTATAAACACGTGGAGAATGCTTAACATTAGCCAACAGGGAAATGCAAATAAAAATCAAAAGATTCTGCTTCTCAAGCACTAGGTTGGCTATGATTCTTTTAGAAATGAACAATAGTGTTGGCGAGAGTGTGGTGAAATTGGAACATTTTCTCATAGATTGATGGTGGGAATGTGAAATGTTGCAGGATTTTGGGAAAAAGTCTGGCAGTTCCTCAAAATGTTAAACATAAACTTAACATATGTCATAGTCCAGTCTGCTATAACAAATTATCATACATCGAGTGGCTTATGAACAATAGAAATGTATTTCTCACAGTTCTGAAGGCTGGAAGTTCAAGGTCAGGGTGCCAACATGGTCAGGTTGTGGTGAGGACTGTCTTTTGGGTGGCAGACTAACAACTTCTCAAACTAGCTGGCTTTCTGGCCTGTTCTTATAAGGGCACTAATCCCATTCATAAAAGCCCCACCCTCATGACCAAATTGCCTCCCAAAGACCCCACTTCCAAAAACCATCACATTGAGATTACAGTTTCAATACATAAAACTGGGGGGACACAAACATTCACTTCATTGTACCATATGACCCAGCAATTCCACTTCTAGGTATATACCCCAAATAAATGAAAACATACACACACACAAAAACTTCTGCACCAATGCTCACAGCAACCTTATTCGTAATAGCTAAAAGGCAAAAACAGCCCAAATGCCCATCCGCTGATGAATGGATAAATAAAATGTGGTATATTCATGCCATGGAATATTATTCAGCAAGCTCTTTCTCAGAGCATTGTAGTAATACGTACCATGTTGTCCTATACCATAATGCAGTGATTTTCAACCGTTGTGCCATGAGAGGATCTTAGGTGTGCCATAAAAACTTTTAAAGATTATTGAATTGTTTTTGAAAGAAGTTCAAAGCATAGTAAGTATATTCTTTTTTTTACTCTTTTTTTCCGGATCAACATAATTTAACTGTGCCAGGGAAGTTTAACTATAGGTTCAAGTGTGCTATGAGATAGAAAAGTTTGGAAAACGCCGGCCGTAATGCATCTGTATACAGTAGGCTGTGACCTTAAGAGCAGAGGCCAGGTCCTTTTCATCATTGTACTCTCTGTGCCTAAGAAAGCCCTGGGAACATAGCAAGCCCTCAGTAAGTGCTTAGCTTGAAAGCAGTAATTAACTTGCATAAAATTCAGACCTATCTCAGAAAGCACAAGGGAAAATGTACCTGTCTTTGTCTGTTGAAGAGCCCAGGAAACAGCTTTACAGTGTACTTAATCTATGTGAGGAAACAGTCACAGCCCTCCACAGAACATTCAACACAAGCCTTTTCTTCCAAAACCTGGTAGCTACCCTATTCAACACCAGGACAGTAAGTATGCAAATAAGCAGCGACCTTTATCTGTGCCTACACCATTTAGGGACACTTGATGGGTGATGGGGGCTCATTCTTTCAGGCCTCTGGGTCAGGGGTCATCAAGTTACAGCTCTCAGGCCAAGGCTGGGTTTGAGACAATCAATCCTCTTTGTATACAGCCTGTGTACTAAGATGGTATTTATTTATTTATATTTGAGACGGAGTCTCACTCTGTCATTCTGGGTAGAGTGCCATGGCCTTAGCCTAACTCACAGCAACTTCAAACTACTGGGTCTAAGTGATCCTTCTGCCTCAGCCTTCCAAGTAGCCAGGACTACAGGTGCCTGGCTAATTTTTCTATTTTTAGTAGAGATCAAGCCTTGCTCTTCCTCAGGCTGGTCTCCAACTCCTGAGCTCAAGCGATCCTCCCACCTCAGCTTCTCAGAGTGCTAGGATTACAGGTGTGAACCACTGCACTGTGCCAGTTTTTCTTTTTTTTTTTTCAAAGACAGAGTCTCACTTTGTTGCCCTTGGTAGAGTGCTGCAGCATCACAGCTCACGGCAACCTCCAACTCTTGGGCTTAAGCGATTCTCTTGCCTCAGCCTACCAAATAGCTGGGACCACAGGCACCCAGCACAATGCCCAGTTATTTTTGTTGTTGTTGTTGCAGTTTGGCTGGGGCCCGGTTCGAACCCGCCACCCTTGATATATGGGGCCAATGCCCTACTCACTGAGCCACAGGTGCTGCCCCGGTTTTTCATTTCTAAATGGTTGATGAGGAATCAAAAAGAGAATACTATGTCGTGGCACCTTTAAAGTCCATGATATTCAAATTTCGGTGTCCAGAAATAAAGTTTTATTGGAACACAGTCACACCCATCCGTTTACTATTTCCTACGACTGCTTTTGTGTTGGACAGAGACTTTATGGCCCACAAAGCCTAAGATATTCACCATCTGGCCCTTTACAGAAAATGCTGGCCAATCTGTACTCTACAGTAAAAGAGTTTAGCAAATTGTGTTTCCCAAAGGCCATGTGGAATGAGAAGGAGCCCTGGGCTACAGTCCTTCACACCTGGCTCTGCTGGGGCTGTGACTCCAATCCACTGGGCTGGAGTTGCCTCCGTATAACATGAGAGGGCTTCATTGAAGGATCCCAGAACCCTATTAGCTCTTAATCATCTGCAGTGTGTGGTGATTTCAGTCAGTTCATTGATTCCCAAGTGGCCAATGGGGTAAAGGCACAGAGCTCTTGTCTGGAATGAGGCCATAGGGCCAGGGAGTCACATTACCACACTCAGCACAGAAGCAGACGCAGAACTGGCTAGCCACTGAGCCTATACAGAGGAGATTTGAAACCTGGCACTCTACAAGGGACAAAAACATACATTTGGGGACACTTTCATGGGCCTTAGTTTTATAAATGATGTAACTCAATTCTTTTAACTCTGGAGAAGAAGGAAATGATTAAACTAATTATTGAAAAAGGTTAGCAATCCCAAAATTCAGGGTTGTAAAATCTAGCACTTACTGTAAGCTCGTTGAAATTAACCAGGTGACTGACACCTCTCTGATTCCTTTGCTGGCAGGGGAGAGTCTCTGTTGCCTCTTCTGTTTTCTCAGTATTAACATGTGGTTCTTTATTTGCAGTCCAAGGGATCTTGGGTTGTTGACATCAGCACGCCAGCCTGGGGTCTGTCACTATGGAACCATACTGGCCTGCTGCTACGGCTGGAGAAGGAACAGCAAAGGAGTCTGTGAAGGTAATTTTTGTAAAACCTCAGACCCTGCACTTGGGCCAGGGTCCTTAGTTTTTTATTTGTGACACTACAAGCTGTTAAGAAAATTGCCAGTGCGTTTCCCAAGGGTAGGGAAATGGAGATGGACAAAAACAGGCCAACAAATTCCTCCTAATTATAGTTTTCCCTGATTTCCAATGAAATATACTTTTAAATTATTAATCATTCAACCAGTAGGCTTCAGCCACAGAAGTAAGCCTTTCATCCTATACCTTTATTCACATTTTTAAAAATCCACAGCATCAGTGTGCAAATGATTTCAAAGATTTTAAGGGTTTTTTTTTTTATTTTTGTGCACATGTTGCCTTTGGTGTCTCTCAGACCACATGTTAGGAAGTCTAAGTGAGGCTTCTTTAATCAGGTCGGGGAGGGCAGAGACAAGCACAGAGTTTCGCCTTTTGTTGTTTCTTATATGACCGTTCCTAATGACCAACACTTGCAGTGTAGAAGGATCAAATCCACATTCCTCCTCGCTGACTGACCAGGGACTCAGGGCAGGAGTCCTGAGTGCTGGTGCCCCTGTCCCTGCATGCCAGCAAGTATAATACGCCTGAACCTCTCAGCCCCTTATCTGTTAAGTGGGATAATAACACAACTGCAGGTCTCATAAAAGCACTAACATGTTAGCTATTTTTAGGAATACCAATGCTACCTTCTTCCTCCACTCTAGCTGGTTCAAAAATATCTGGATTGACCATAGGTGGGGACAGAACTTGACAATATCCAAAATCCATGAAATCACAGAAGACATTTATATCGTTCTCACATGCTCCATGTTATGCAAAACTTTCTGTTATCATAGTTTCCTTGTGAAGAGATGGGGAGAGCACGAAGATGCTAGAAAAAATAAAGATCGTCACTGTTACTTAGTTAAAGAATGTTAGAACACCCCCTCCTGATTGGATTGATAGTGTCATGATCAAGGCCATTGAGAACCAGACTGATGTAAGTGACCGTGGGCAAGATCGGTAAGCTAGCTGGGACTCCATTTCCTCCTTTGCAGCCTGGACAGAGTAATACCTACCTCCAAGGGTAAGGAGTGTAAGCGTTAAAGGGTGTGCTCATTACCTGGCACGAATAGAAAATACCCCATAAATTACCACTGCTTTGGAAAGGACCAATACGCTCCATTGCCACAGACTTCTGCACCAGCTGATGGGGGATTAAATGTGGCTTTATTCTTTTCCAAGACACAACATAACACATTTTTATTTGAAATCAGTGAGGTGGAAAGGGGCAAAAACCACGTGAAACACATGATTCGGGATCTCTCTTACAGCCGCACGAACGTCGGCACCTGTCATAAAACTTCTAAGACCCGGCATGTCGCTGGTGAATAAATGAGGGTAATCTTCGGCTTTCTGAAAGGGCTAGTCTGTAACCGGATCAGAGTAGTTTGGTCACAATACACATGGCCGATCACATTCGTGGTGCTTTTGTGGACTATTTGATCCCACAGGCATGAAAGAATTTAAAGCAGAATGTTAAGAGGGCAAGTGCAGAGGGTTCAAGGAAAATGCTCGCTATGTGAGTTTTGCAAGCTGAAGAGATTATTGTTCAAGTTTTAAATTGCAATGCTTTTTATATCCAAAATGCATGTGCTATTTTATTTCATTTACATAGTCCTTCTTGGTTAAAGTTATATGTTCCTTGAAGTACCAAACAGCAGGGTATCTAGTCCCTGATCGCTGGGTTTCTGATTTCTAGCCAGAGCATGTGCTGGGTAGACGTGACAACACATATCAGCCTGCCCGAAGAAGCTGAGCCAGACCTCAGGCTGTGAGACCCTAGTGTGCCAGGCCTTCCTCTCCATCCATCTGTTCAGACTTCATTTCTCTCAAGGCCTGTGTCCCTGCATGCTGGAGCTTTCTAGCTCTCAGCCTCTACCCTGTCTAAATCTGCTCCCAGGACTGGGTCTGATTCACTTGATATCATTAACCTTAAAATATATGTTACTTTGGCAAGATAGAATAGAGTTGTCCATGAACAAACCCCAAATGACGAGCTGAACAAGAGATTTTTACTTTGCCTGAAACATGCTTGAATCTTAGGCCATTTTAGACGCAAACTGAGTTTCTTGCTCTTTGCTGTGGATTGGCTGTTCAAGTCACAGATCCAAAGTTACTGTAAATTGAAAACATGTTTCTGAAGCTTTGACCTTATAGCAAGGGTATTATTCACCATTTCTCCTGTGTTCCATTTAGCATGTATCTGGGTTTTCCTATTTGGATCACACTGGAAATCAGTTTCCAGAGAACAACCAGAGGTCTCTGGGACTTAAAACGTAAAATGAAATATTTATTTTTCTAACATCTGAATTTAAAGCTGCATCTCCAAGTATATATCCATAACAAAATAGACACTGGAAATTAAATTCCAGCCCTTAAAAGTAAAAATTCTTTTCTGAGGAAGCACTTTTCCCCTATGATTTGTTCAGAGCCATACAGCATCCCCTCATTAAAAGCCTATACCTATTATTTTATTCATTATTCAAAAATATTTGAATATTCCACGTTTATAACTCTATATTTAGTGTTGCAAGAGAAACGATGATGAATGTTTAAGTCCCTAACCTGAAGGCACTTGGAACCCAGGAGAAGGTAGAAGTCAAGGATGGCCAAAATATGCCTAATTATTTAGTTAGACAAAGACTGATCAGTTTTACAGGAGAGGCCTGCCAGAATTCTGTGGAGTTCTCAAAGTTGAGCATAAGTTCGCAGAAGGCTGGAAAAATCTGTGAAGGCTTCTAGAAGAAAAGGTCACACCAGGTGGTTCTTGAAGAGTGGGGAGGAGATTCACCATTGGAGGGCCAGGGAAGGGTACTCTAGTGGTAACGGGTAGGAAAAGGCAGAATACAAAGGGTAGTTCTAGAGACAGCAGGCAATCTAGTTTGGCCACAGTGTTGCCTATGTCCTGGGGGGAGCTGGACAAGAAGGTGGAGGCCAGATCCTGTTGAGCTTAACTTGTTTAGGATACCGGCACTGTGTTCAAGAGGCACCAAAGATTATACAGTGACCTCTGTGCAAGTAGTGGCATGAGCTGAGCTATGCGTTTGGAATGTCACTTTGAAGTCAGGTTTCCTAGAAGCAGAGCTTGAAAGGGAGATTCTTGTACAAATACAGTAAAACTTCTATAAGTTGACCACCCAAGGGACTCTAACAAACTGGTCAACATACAGAGGTTGTCAACATAAGGAACTAGGCCTATGGTACAGATACATACATGTGGTGCATATCCAGTCTATGAAAATTCCCTCAACTTAAGGAGGTGGTCAGTGTAGAGAGAGAGTCATCTATGGAGGTTCTACTATATTTCATTGGCAGTGATCTTATGAGACATGTGTAAAGGAGTGGGCGGAGGAAGTAAGGCAGCTAGGCAGATGGGTGCTTTCAAGAGAAGTTTGTCTCACCCTGATTCCATAGGGACCTCTAGGGCATTTATTGCACCATAGAGTTTGTCCTGGCAAGAAACAAGGCATTAGGGTGTTAGATCCCCATACCAGTGGGGCACCATCACAGGCCGCGGTGGGGAAAGCAGGGAGAGAGAGGCTTTGGTGTAATTTCCCGGGTATCTGTGAGCAAGGCTATTCCCATTAGCTAGACAAATGTTCAGTGAATGGGTTAGTAGTAGAATGAGATATAGGATGCTGCCATTGATTCGTTTGGAAACAAACAAGTAGAGACAACTGAGATTTTGAGTCCAGGTAACTAGGAGAGGAATGGTCACGTTAATAAAAAAAAAAAATAGGGTCTGTGTTTGTAGGGAAATATCCTGGGATCTTTGGGAACTGGCCTGCTTAGAAATGGGCCAACTTCGAGCCAGAGGAATCCACGGATGGACAAGTAAGCAGCATTCCTTGGCATTTGCTGACTTCTTTCATACTGTGGCTATTTCCTGAGCTCCTACTGGATCTAGAAACTGCTGAGAGTCCTCGGTACCCTGAGAGCCTCCTTTCTCTCTCATTTGTTAGTTTTTTCCTCCCTCTCCCCTGCTTCCCTTAGGGTTTTCCCATTTTCCTTTTTTGCTATCTACAACTCCCCCCCATCTCCTCTCTGTGAGCTAGACTCAAGCTATCATCTTAGACTATTTTTTTCTTGCCCTCCAACTCAATTACTTACAACATCCTATTCCTGTTGTTCATCCCAACACTTTATTCCCTGAAAAAATATTTACTGGGTGCCAACTTTGTGTCAAGTATTGAAATGTGGAAGTGAACAACACAGAAAAACAAATCCTGCCTTTTGTCATGGTTTCCCGCGCCTCCACCCTCATCATTATCAGCTTCATCGTGTTTTAGCCCCCATCCTTAGGGCTAGAGGTAGCACCTCCCCAACTCCAATCTGGGGATTGTTCAGTCTTACTCTGGACCCTCTTCCTGTCCAAACATTATACTTCTATTCAGTGTTTTGTGCTTACATACAAAACTGGCTGACTGTAGTCTGGGAGGCCTATATTTCTTTGAATACCACTGGAAGTGTGGTGGTGCTAAGCGAACTCACAATAACCTGGCACGCGGTGGGTGCAGAGGGCAAGGTGATCGTCTTCCCAGACAAAGGACTTTCTGGGATCTGAAAGCTGAAAACAGACTAGAGAGGAGGCCAACCATCCTCTGTACGTCCCCATGGCGTTCTCTGCCACCCAGAAGGTGACTACGTCTGACGCGCTTGCATTTCCCTGAGCTGACTACTCCTGTTCTTTTGTCATCAAGACATCTTTTCTTTTCACAGCTGCCTGCGAACCTGGATGCAAGTTTGGGGAATGTGTGGGACCAAACAAATGCAGATGCTTTCCAGGATACACGGGGAAAAGCTGCAGTCAAGGTCAGTACGATAGGCCAGGGTCACAGGCCAAGTTAGATGGTTGCAGTGGTGCTGGTGACACAGTGCCGTGGGCAGGATGTCTTAGGTTTTCTTAATGTTGAATCTTCAAATGAAGATGGTTCCAGGACAAGATTTTTCAAGCTCTTCTCCTTGAAAAATGTAAAAATGTTGATGTTTCTGTCAAGATGCCCAACAAAAGACCTCCCCGCCTCACAAATAATTCTGTTGTTACTTATTTTTTTATTTTTTGTTGTCTTAATATGTAATTTTATTCAAAATTTGTGGTAAAATAAAGGTAATGCTTTTATGTTATTTAAAAGTTCAAATGGTACTCAAAACATAGAAAATACACCATCCCAGCCTTCCTCTCTACCTGTGTGGTGTGTATTTTTATTTGAAACAATCCACCAGTGCAAAAGAATATAAATGAAAAAGTGAGTTTCCACCCCTAATCCTTACTCCATAGTTAAGTTTGTCCTTGATCTTCAAAGCCCTTTTCTGTGATAGTACAAACGTATTTCTCATAGGTATCGTTGTATGTCAGTGTATACAGAGCTAGCTGATAAGACTGTATCCTCATCCCTGTGTAAATACTTTTCTTTTATGCAAAAATGCTTCATTTAACCACTATAATTGATACTGTCTCCAATTTTTTGCCATTACAAACAGTACTAAATCAAACCTCCTTCTAGGAATATCCTTGCACTCTTGAGTCAGTATTTTGTAGGAGAAATATCTACAAATGGAATTGTTGGGTTGAGTCACACATATACTTTCATTGAAATGGGTATATTTAAAAAAATAATTTGTGACTTTTATCAGAGACTATTTATCGGAAGGCATTACAACAATTTATAATGTCTAGAACAGTGGTTCTCGGTGTGGGTGGTTTTGACCCCCAGGAAGAATTGGCAGATAAAATATAGACACCCAGTTGAATTTAAATTTCAGATAAACAACAAATAGCATACATATTTTCTAAGTATTATATGGGACTTCAAAAAGCGTTAGTCGTTTATGTGAAATTCAAATTTAACTGGGAATCTTGTATTTTTATTGGCCAAATCTGGGAGCCTGCCCCCAGGGGACATCTGGCAGTATCTGGGGTGTTTGTAGGGGTGTTAGTGGCATCTAGTGGATAGAGCCAGGGATAATGCTGAACATCCCACAATGCGCAGGACAGCCCCCAACAAAGAGTGGTCCAGCCCCAAACATCACTAGCACTGAAGTTGAGAAATCCCGCTCTAAATCTGGTGAATAAAAGTACACCATTGATGCAAAGGTGATTTGGCCACCCAGAAGACACTTGGCAATGTCTGTACACAGTTTTGGTTGTCACAACTGGGCATGGGAGGTTCTGCTGGCATCTAGCGGATGGACCCCAGGGGTGCTGCTAACCACCCAGGCACTGCACAGAATGGCCCTCAGAACAAATAATGATTGGGCCCAAGATATCAACAGAAGTTGAGAAACCATGACATGAAGAAACGAGTCCCCAGTCCTGTAATGAAACTGAGCAAAGAGCACCAATCCATTTCAGCTGCCCTTAAGAAAGGCTTCTAGGATTCTAGAAAAGGGGACAGAGAGTTTGAGAGAAGGCCAGGCACCCACTCCGCTCTGCCATTCCCAGCCCTGCCGCTAAGCCGAGAGGTTAGCCCCATGTACTGAAATAACCATTCTTTGAGCTGCCAGCCCTGCAGCCTTGGGGAGGGAGATTGGATCTCTTAATGATCTACCACCAACATAGAGGGCAGAGCCTCAAAGGTGCTTCTTAGAACTGCATCCAATTGCTTGAGAGAGGAGCATCAGGAATCATGCTATCATAAGCCACAATTCAGCTATATCCCTTAGCAGAGGTTTATACCACAAAGCTTGTTTTTCCATATGTTTTGGATTCTGTGCCAAGATACCTTCTCAAGAGATTTGGAATACAGAGATATTTTTCATGCTAATTTTTGAGTCCCAGTAAAACATCAGCATTGAAAGAATCAGTTGGCTTGAGTTTGGGGGCTGCCTGTCTTCCCCCCACAGCCTCCCTGCCCCGTGGCAGCCTGATCAAAGTCCACATATATCCATTAGTGGCAATAGGCCTCAACTGTTGTCTTTACTAAAATGCTCCTTCCAAGAGACAAATGAGTCACTTCTGAGTTAGGGCCAAGTGATGGAGTGTTCCTGGGTTTCCCATTATGTCTGACATTGTCTCCTTTCAAATCTGCATTGCTCAATTGTCCCCTTTGAAGCCATCAGAGTCTGTGAGGGAGACAGTAGGGTAGAGGGGACAGTCAGTGATGAGAAGGTTTCAGATGTCTAGCTAGGGCCTTGGAAAATGATTGTAAAAGGACCTTTTCAGAGGCAAAAGCAGTCACTTCTTATTTTCAAGAATGTCACCATGCTGAATTTTTTTTAATTTACCTCCTTGTCCGGTGAACCATGCCGAATTTGGTTGGTCTTCCCTCTTTGTGTAGTCCTCGGGGGAGTTAAGCCAGGAGGCCCCCTCATGACTACATTTCCAAAGACAAGATTCTCAATCCATGATCCCTTTTAAGGTCTTATTTTTGTTCTATATCATTTTTTTATTTTAATAAAAATGTTATTTATTCTTAATGTTTACATTTTATTTTAGAAAACACTATAAAACACACAGAAGAAAGTCATCCTTGAGCTTACCAACCTTTTTGGTGTCAGGGACCAGTTTCATGGAAGACGATTTTTCCACAAACGAAGGGCTTGGGAGCAGTTTTCATATCAACCTGCAAGCAATTGATTTACTCTGTGCAGTCAAACCTCTCTGCTAGTGATAATCTGTATTTGCAGGTGCTGCCCAGTGCTAGCATCAGCACCTCTGCTCTACCTCAGCCTGTCAGGCATTAGATTCTCATAAGGCAAGTGCAACCTAGATCCCTCACAAGTGCACTTTCCAGTAGGGTTTGTGCTCCTGTGAGAGTCTGGTGCCACTGGTGATCTGACAGGAAGCAGAGCTCAGGTGGCAGGGCTAGCAATGGGGAGTGGCTGTAAATACAGATGAAGTTTCCCTTGCTCGCCCCCCACTCACCTCCTGCTATGTGGCCCCATCCCTAACAGGCCACAGACCAGTACTGGTCCAAGGCCTAGGGGTTGCGAACTGTAGATTTAGAGTATATTTTTCCTGGGCTTTTTTTAAAAAAATAAATTTGTGATCAATTTATTACATAGTTTTATAACCTTTTATCACTTAACATCCTGCAAACATCTTTATGTGGGATTAAATATCCTCCACCTTCACCACCCGGAGTTGCCTGACAGCTTTCTCGAGAAGGATGTGAGCCCTGGTAGGTGGCTAGAGAAGAACCACTCAAAATAGTAAAAACTGAAAGGAGAAGAAGTCAGCAGCAGCCATCATAGGCTGTCTGGGATAATGGTAAAGGCAGAAAAACTGCATTGTCTACTTCAAGTAATATACACATAAAATTGTGCATATATAAAAAAATGTATAGGTCTATGAATGTTCTCAAACACCCATGTAACCAGTATACAGATCAAAAAGCATAAATGAAGCCCTCCAAAAGACCTCATATGCCCCTTGCTCCCACTTACACCCTGAACAAAAGAATCATATCTTGACCTCTTACATCACAGACTAGCTATGCCTGTTTGTGAGCTCTGTATGAATGGCCTCATACAATATGTACTCACTTGGGAGATTCATCCATTGTGGTAGGGTTCTGGTCTCAGGGTGGCGGAGTATTCCTTTGTGTGAGTATACAAGTTATTTCTCTAGCCCTCTATCAGGAGGTATTTGGATTAATTCTAGTTTGGGGCTATTAAGAATAATCCTGTGATGATCATTTTAGTATGTGTTTCGGCTTTTTATTTTTATTTTTTTCTGAGCACAAATCCATGTTTCTGTTGGGTCTAATCGCTAGGTCCTGGATATGTCTATATGTAGCTTTGGGAGATTCAGGCATGCAGTTTTCTGAAGTGTTTATACCAGTTTCTATCCCTGCAATGGCTTCTGGTCATTCCCTGTTTGCTCTACATCCTTACCAGTCCTTCAAAATAGAATTTTATGGTCAGAGAGAAGGCAAGTAAGCACAGGGTCCAGGAAAGCCAACCCACTCATTCTGCCCAAGATCGGGGTCTGATGTTGCCCTTCTGGATGTTTCCTAATTCCATTCACCGCTCCCCATTTTCTAACCGCCCCCACAGACGTGAACGAGTGTGGAGCGAAGCCCCGGCCGTGCCCACACAGATGTGTGAACACCCACGGCAGCTTCAAGTGCTTTTGTCTCAGTGGCCACATGCTCATGCCAGATGCCACATGTGCGGGTGAGTTTTCACAGCCAGGCTGCTCTCAGTCAATCCGGGAGCCTTGGCTTTGGCCGTTTGATGCTTGGGGGAAAAAAAAAACTGACTTGCATGATAAAAAAGAAAAAAAAAATCCCTAATATTGCCCCAGGCTAAAACATCTTTGGGCACTTACTTTTAAAAAATGATGGCAAAATGCACATAACATGAAATTCACCATCTTAGCCATGGTAAAATGCACGATTCAGTGTCATGAGCACATCCACCAGGCCACGCCACCCCCACCGCTATCAAGTTCCAGAGCATCTTCATCCTCCCCAAGTGAAACCAGACCCATTAGCAGTCACCCCCCGCCCCCGTCTGGCCCCTGGAGACCACTAATCTACTTTCTGTCTCTATGGAATTGCTTGTTCTGGATACTTCCTGGGGGAGGGACTAAATTATCTATCTGTCTCTATCTGCATCTCTACATATGCGGGGACGTGTTGGGTTTCTTCATGAAAATAAGCACGTGGAACAAAATAAGCGTGTCTTTTAGGGAGGTGATACATTTCAATTCCATCTCTGGACATCCATTCTTCCCACCAACTACCTTTCTCACGCCCCTTGCCCCACTTCCAAAGATTAGTGACGCCCTTTGGAAATATATTCCGACTCACTCACATTCCTGAAAAGAAAAGCCCTTCTGTGATAAAGAAATCCCCATGTCCTGCGGGAGGGGGAGAGTCTATATCCAGTCATGTATCGAGAGGGAAGGCTTTTCAGGTTTTATGTTGCAGCCGAAAGGCAAAGCCGTCCTCCCTGCCCTCCCTCCCCTCCTCCACCCCATCTCTCTTCCTCCACCCTGCAGCTACTAACAAACTTCAACCCCTGCCTTTGGCCAGTGTGCTATGGTTGCGCAGTCACATGGACTCCCCGGCCCATCCTTGGCTTTCCCAAGGTCGTAAAGTCTTGTGTGGTGCATGGCTCACTCCCCCTCCAGCTTTTTCTTGTCCTTTCCTCCCTGGCCAAGTGTCCCACACCACAGAGTCATTTAGACCTTCCTTCAGCAGCCTAAGAGATAAAGCAGGCATTTGAGGGTCTTTAAAAATATTCTTCTAATTATAAATTAAACAGAAACCCACATGGAACCAATGCACTGTTTAATGAATTCTTATAAGTCATGCACCCTTGTAACCACCACCAAAAAAAACTTTACCAGAACTTCCTACCCTGGCCCCCCACCCCCCACCACAGGGACTCTATCTAGGCTTTTAGAGTAATCACTTCAAGTTTCTAAAAAGATAGACTCTAATGGATATTTCTGAAACATTTCATGAAAGCCCAGTCAGTGCCAAAAAAAGATCTTCCTTCAAGTAAAAAGATTGAATTAAGTTAATTTTGAAGATTAATTTTGAAAGAAGACAACTAAGGAAAAAAGAATAAAGAAGAAATGAGTGATATAACCATGGGTGGGGTTTGTTGCCTTATATTGGGTCCTTACCCCTGTACCCTCTTTCTATTTCTATATATCTAGGGGTTACCTGGGCCTCCCTGTTTAGAGACCAAAGCGTTCAGGTAGCCTAGACCCTCTCCTGGGTGCTGATTTGATCCCACCTGGCCCCTTGGGTCTCTTTGTCCAGCTGGGTGACTAGTATGTTATGGAGGGGGTGGAGGGAAGCAGTTTACCCCCTGTGTCGTGAACTTTGGGCTGGAACTATATGAGTTTCTTAGCCCCCACACATACTGGACCCCTGCTAAGGAAATGCAGTTTTTGTGAGAAAAGTTATATTTAGCAACGAATGACAGGAAAATCCAATTAAATCCTCTCATTGATTAAAAAATCTAGAGGTGGCTCAGTGCCTATTGCTCAAGCGGCTGAGGCACCATCCACATACACATGAGCTGGCAGGTTGGAATCCAGCCCGGACCCGCCAAACAACAATGACGGCTGCAACCAAAAAATAGCTGGGCATTGTGGCGGGCGCCTGTGGTCCCAGCTACTTGGGAGGCAGAGGCAGGAGAATCGCTTGAGCCCAGGAGTTGGAGGTTGCTGTGAGCCATGATGTCACAGCACTCTACCCAGGGTGACAGGTTGAGGCTCTGTCTCAAAAAAAAGCTAGAGGCAAGCAGTTCCAAAGCAACTCAAGAAGTACTAAGTCTCTGCCATCTTCAAAGTCTTGATTTTATTCTCATGTTTGTAGCCTCATAGTCCCAATATGGCTGTCCCAGCTTCAGAGAGAAAGTAGACGAAACTTAGCAGGTAGGGGTGATGCAAACAAACCAATGCCTCTTTCACCCCATCCCTCTTTATCAGCAACATCTTTTTCAGAAGCTCCACTCCCTCCAGTGGACTTACCTTTGTACTTCTTTGACCGCTCCTTGCTGCAAAGGAGGCTGGGAAAATGACAAGTGTCTGGCTTTCCAGCCTCAATGGTGGGAATGGCAAGAGTTTTTAGGCAGCTGATTAGCCATATCTGCCACATATTGTAGTACAGACACCTCACAGAACAAGTCTTGTGTCTCAAGTGATTATCACTGAGCCTAGGTGTTCACGGGAAGATCTCTAGAATGGACGCTTTTACCCTAATTACTCAGGTTGATAATTTACATTAGGTGCATTTCAGCCTATACAGGCCAGTCAGATGACATAAAGGAGTCACTAGAGCACATACAAGAGGAGAGAGAGATGCAGATGATCAAATTCAATGCAATGGCCAACAACATAGACCATGGCTGGGGTTCAGCCCAGGGGCCACCAAGATGCCTGTCCAGCTCAGATTCCTTTCGGCTGTCCATTTGGGACTCAGATAATGACTCTTGCCTTCTAATACCATTCTACCTGTTCCATGTAATGTCTCAGAATTCAGAGATAGTTTCTTAGTAAGCATCTTTTTCATCATTTCTGGAGAAAAACGCTAATCCGTGTCTCCTTTTTCAGACTCTAGGACGTGTGCCATGACAAACTGCCAGTACGGCTGTGAAGACACAGAGGAAGGGCCACGGTGTCTGTGTCCATCCCTGGGACTCCATTTGGCCCCAAACGGGAGAGTCTGTCTAGGTAGAACAGGGAGGATTACCTCCTCCTCTCCTCCTCCTCCTCTTTCTCCTCCTCCTCCTCCCATGACTCCCCCTTTGCTGATCTCCTTTTTTCATTCATCAGAATCAGCATGTTGACCAGATATTGCAAACTTCTAAAAGTACCTATTTATGTCCATTTCTGAGACGATGTTTTAGCCACATATGCCTAGACATACTTTGGGATGCTAAAAAGAACATTTCTCTATTATTTTGGATTGCCTAAGGCCAGAGTGGAAAAAAGGTAACTTTATTTTAGTATATTTACCTTGCACATTTCTTCAATTACTATCCAGGAGAAGCTACACTACTTGTATGTTATCATTTAATGAGTAAAATCCTAAGGGCCATTGGACTTTATTCTGGATTTTAGCTAATACTTTCATTGAAGAAGTTGATTTATTTTTTAGATATAACATTATTGAAAATAGTATGTGCTTCTACATTAAGTTAGCATGTAACCACTTTCATAGTGTCTTTAAAACTTGCTCTACATCAGTGGTTCTCAGCCTGTGGGTTGCAACCCCTTTTTAACAATGAAAATACATTGCAGCATTAGGAAGGTTGAGAACCACTGCTCTACATGGTATGAAGTAAGTATTCCATAGTTAATTCTGACTGGGGAAATGAGCAGATTGAATCAATAATGTTCATTAAAGGAACACATAAAGCCTTTATAATTCTGAATTTAGTCAAATTCATTGGCTTAGAACTTTTGCTCTCTTGATCTCCCTTATTTTGTGTCTTAGTTTCGGATTCTGCAGAAGCTGAATCAGAGCAAGTAGTGAATGTGGGACATAATCCCAGGAAACACTGGTTGAGGGGTAGGAAAGTGACCCCAAGAAAGGAAGATGCCAGGGCCAGGTGAATTCAATGAGCAGAGAGTAGATTAAATAAGCTGTAGGCACCTCTGAGAGCCGGGGGTGGGGGGGGAAGCTGCCTCTGGGTTTCTCCCTCTGAGACAAGGGTGCTGGGTGTTTATCTGTCAACTCCTGCCCTTCGATGATGGGGGCTGCTCTGGGGCATGTCTCCCCAGTACTCCCAGCCTGGTGGGGAGCAGAACTGAATGTTGCAGGTG